AATTAACAGTTCGTTCAATTCTCCTGTGCCGAAGACATCTGGCTGGCGGTATTGACAGGTCTGCGGTCCAGACTAGATGTCTGAAACAGCTCTCTATCTAAGGGGAATGAAATCAAACGTGGGCTTCTGAGCAGCGGCCCAGGTCTCTGCCTGCTCCAGCGACTGTAGGATTTGTTCATCTATAATTAACTATTAAACTTCATTGAAGGAGAGGTTGAAAAAACAGACAGTTCTGCTCTTGGATATGAGACATGGCGGGAGACGGCGAGAATAATAATGCAAACTTGCTCTGGGTTCGTTAGGATGCTTTTTTGATAGATCTGCAAATAATTACAAACTACAAACAAATACGAGAACAAAGGGGGCCTGCTGAAGTCCCGAGCTGCAGCGCTCGATACGATCAGCTAGTTGCCTTTGTGGAATTTCTGGATGAACTCGGGTCTTAATGAGTCTCTGGCATCTCTCAGACACTGCTTCTTCTTGCCCCCCTCCATTGTAAGCTCTCTCCATCTGCGATTCGGCCCATCAGACAGACCGCCAGGCTGTGATTATCTGTCACATTGATCTGAGATTATGGTATCAGTGTAAACACAGAGAGAACAACACTAGTCGATGGGGTCCCCGTTGCTTCCAGTGATGCATCAGCCTTTGTGTCGGTGTGACCTGTGATAATCTCAGGGGAGAGATCACAGCTTCGGCCCTTGTATTAGCTTGTTTTTCTGTTACCAAGAGCTGTGGATGGCGTGTTTTGAATGTATTTTAGATGCTAGAGCTTTTAGGCGAGTCAGAGTTCGGTTTATTTGGTTGGTGTGAAATGGGTTGGCCAAATTCGATGGGCAACAAAGCTCCAATGTGGACCAATGTGTACCTTTCTCAGCAGCAGTGTTTTTTTTCCTGCCTTGTAAATGCATTGCATTAAATTCAGGATGTTTTTCAAAACAATCTCTTACAATTTTCACCAGATCTCTGGATCAAACCCTGAGTTGACATAGGACCTTTATAGCATCTATACCGGGTTTGCTTTCGTCAACCCTAACCCTTCTCTAAAGCTCAGAGTTTGTTCAACTATCTTCGTGTAACAAACTACAGAAATCTAGCTAGTGTTTATATTTGCGTGTACGTGTGATCTCATATTCCCTATTGCTTAGTACCAGCCTGGAAAATTGCTTCATTATAAAGCATTAATATTTAAAGTGTAAATTGTTCTAAATATTGTTATTTATTCATTAGAGTTATTTAAGATGTTTTGCTTATGCCTGGAGATCTTTTTGGGTTTGTATAACAGTAACAAACTGACGGCTTTCATATGGCATTACTTGTGAGTGAATTTGAGAAATATATTTGCGCGCTTGTGTATGTGTGTGTATATAGTGTGTTATGTGCACTGAGAGTTTCAAGACAGTTTGTAAATAAATGCTAATATGGTATTTATGAAGCAGCTATGGTATTTATATAGTTCATGAACTGAAATATTTACACTTATCTCTTACAATGTAGAGTCGCTGGTAATATCACATTTCACAGTTTGTTTGTTTTTAAACCTTGGCATAAGCATTTTTCTTAGTCTACTAGTTTTCAGACCTTGAAGTGTCTAACCTAAACCCTTATGAAAGCAGATATGTTATCGTTCCTTATTACAGTTATAATTCAGCATTGAAATGTTAGTTTAATTTACCCAGTTCTTTCAGTCCCAGTGGCCCAGTTCTAGTTGTGTTTGCCCAGGGCCCGCTGTAACTCCTTCAGGGAAACACTTCCTGCTTCCTGTGTTCATGCAACGTGTGCTGCTTTACAAGGAGAAATCTATTCCCAAAGCTACTCTATCCGGTCTGTTTGGGGACGAATATATCTTTAATTATGAATAATGATGATAAATAAACTTTGTTTGCTTTTCATGACATTATATGCATGGCATATCTACAGCAAATCTGAACTAGGCCACCTTCATGGAAGTTAAAGGGTTAGTTCACCCAAAAATTAAAACTTGTGTTTTACTCACCCTCAAAGCATCCTAGGTGTATATGACTTTCTACTTTCTGAAGAATCCAGTCGGAGTTATATTAAAAATTGTCCTGGCTATTCCAAGCTGTATCATTGCAGTCAGCGGGTGTTGCAGTTGAACAGTCCACAAGTCGTCAAATAAAGCTTGTGTATTCATAATAAAACGTGCTTCACACGGCTCCGGGGGATGAATAAAGGCCTTCTGTAGTGAATCGATGCGTTTTTGTAAGAAACATATCCATATTTCAAACGTAATAAACACTTTTCTCTCACTTCCGTTATCTGTCATACGCGGAAGGCGTTCCGGTGGAAGGTGTACGACGTATGCGCAGCGCGCGCGCCTCTGAGATATGCTAGTCTCGCGAGTTTGTTTATAGAAGCAAAAGAAGCAAAGTTTCCTTACTTTAGCAAAGGAAAACCATTCTCCTCTTGGTTTATATCAAAATCCTCCGACATTTTTCTTTGCAAATCTTCGGTTTGTACTTTTAATTAGTGACCGGCGTTTTGTTTTGTTGTCTCTCCGCATTTGTCACTAATCACGCAACGCTGACGTTCTACGTCATCCGCCGGCACGGCTTCCGTGTATGACAGTTGGCGGAAGTGATATAAAAGTGTTTATCACGTATGAAATATGGATATTTTTCTTACAAAAACGCATGGATTCACTACAGAAGGCCTTTATTCACCCCCCGGAGCCATGTGAAGCATGTTTTATTTTGAATGCTCGAGCTTTATTTGACGACTTGTGGACTGTTCAACACCCGCTGACTGCAATGATAGAGCTTGAAATAGCCAGGACAATTTTTAATATAACTCCGACTGGATTCGTCTGAAAGAAGAAAGTCATATACACCTAGGATGCTTCGAGGGTAAGTAAAACACAAGCTAATTTTCATTTTTGGGTGAACTAACCCTTTAAATTAAGATAAAAGTGTATTATATTATATTATATTATACATTTTTCATACAGAAAAAGGGTGAAATTAAGTTAATTAGTAGGGTGTTGTATTGTGTTAAAAAGTAAACAATATCATCTGTGACAAAAGATAAATGAACCAGGTTTCTCAGGAAGACTTGCCTTTCTCTCATGAGATTCCACAGCTGCTAACCAAAGGTCAACCTTATTAAGACCAAAGGATGGAGAAATGGATTCACTACAGAAGGCCTTTATTCACCCCCCGGAGCCATGTGAAGCATGTTTTATTTTGAATGCGCGAGCTTTATTTGACGACTTGTGGACTGTTCAACACCCGCTGACTGCAATGATAGAGCTTGAAATAGCCAGGACAATTTTTAATATAACTCCGACTGGATTCGTCTGAAAGAAGAAAGTCATATACACCTAGGATGCTTCGAGGGTAAGTAAAACACAAGCTAATTTTCATTTTTGGGTGAACTAACCCTTTAAATTAAGATAAAAGTGTATTATATTATATTATATTATACATTTTTCATACAGAAAAAGGGTGAAATTAAGTTAATTAGTAGGGTGTTGTATTGTGTTAAAAAGTAAACAATATCATCTGTGACAAAAGATAAATGGAAGACTTGAAGATAAATGAAAAAAATCTCAGGAAGACTTGCCTTTCTCTCATGAGATTCCACAGCTGCTAACCAAAGGTCAACCTTATTAAGACCAAAGGATGGAGAGAAAATTGCCTTCTGCTATCTTTCGTTTCTTTCGGTTTGTATGTGTGTATCACACCAATCAGTGCTATTTGCAGAGGTTGGTGTTTTGAAAGAACAGCACATTTCACAGTGCTTTCTGTAACTGAGTCATATTTCTTTCAGGTGATATTTGATTAAGAGGTTTAATGTATATTAAATATAACATTAAAATTTGAACTATATATATATTTTGTGTTGCATTAGATAAAAAAAAGATACCAAACAAAATATAACTTAATCATCAGTTGATTAAAAGTCAGAAAAATTTTGTTCTGAGAAAAGGCCTAACATCCACCACTTGGTTAGATATTTTGTACTGTATTTAATGTGATGACAAGCATGCATTTTCGCTGTAGACAACACTGGCTGTCAGGCAGTTTGTTTTTGATTCACATTGAAAGTGCATGAGTGAGCAAGTGGGCAATTTTGAATATAACTTATGTCATGATTTGACACAAATCTGTATTTTCACTTTCCTGGGACAGGTTCCTCATTCCTGGCTAATGTTGTCCATGTCTTGCTGGCACAGCTGTAGACCAGAGTGCATTTTCTTGCTGTAATATAATCTCTAATGAAGTGTCAACATAAAGCAGCCTGGTCTGACCTTTGGAAAGGAATTTAATTTGCCTCCTTCTGGCATGTTTGACTCCATGTAGAACAATCTTGGATGGCCACATCTGAGGATACCCTGAGAAGTGAAGTACTTATTGGATTAGAGCACTGTGGCCTTTCATGAACCCATAAATAATGCTGAGCATGACTGATAACAGAGCCGAGTAATAGCCCCGTAGGTGGAGAAGTAAACAAACACTTTCTTTCCTTGCTAATTTTCTTTCTATTTATATCTTTCTATCTCTGTCTCTCTGTAAGTGATGTAGTCTATCATCAGTTGGTTCAGTTGTCTCTTTGTTAGTTGCTTGACCAGAGCAGCATCAGCTAGTGTTGAAAAAAAAAATATATATATATACACAATAGATACAAACTTAAAATTGGTGGAGGTAAACTCAGAATTCTGAAAAAAGGCAGAACTGCGAGATATAAACTCAGAATTGTGAGATGTAAAGTCACAATTACCTTTTTTATTTAGTTTTTTTTACCTTTTTTTTATACTGTGGCAGAAACAGGCGTCCATGCCTTACAGCTCTGTTTGATATAACGTGTCAAAGGTTCAGCTGATGAATTCATTGGCCCAGTTTCTCCTGCTGTTTAATAAAATCCAATGTGCATTAATAAAACAACCTGTACCTACATATGTGCTGTCAATGGCACATTTGTGTGTTTTGAAGTCTGTCATATCATTTGACAAATATTCTCCTCTGTTCTTTTGCCTAAAGCCTCCCTGGAACCACACCGCGGACCAGTGAACCGACCGGTCACTCCAGTGGCGCCTCGGGCAGTTCCAGTGAATCGGAGAGCAGCTCTGAATCCGACTCAGACAGCGAGAGCAGTTCCAGTGACAGTGAGTGCAACCGAGCGTCCCGTGCTGCCACACCAGAGGTACTGATCACTTTACACCTCTCAAACTGTCACAACACATCCACACACTGATCCATGACTCGTCTGTTCATTCCATTCGCTGATGGCTGTTGTTACAGGTGTATCTCAGTTCAGTTCATACACTGCAGTATAGGGCCAAAAATATGTGGACACTCCATTCTAATTAATGAACCCCTTAAGATTTTTGTATAATTTCTATGAAGCTGCTTTAAAAAAGTATGCCTGACACCTCAGTGGCAAAATATTGGAAGGCCTGTCAAGACACACTCAGTTGTTAATATACCATCTTTACTTTTCTATGAAGCTGATTTAAAACTGTATTTACTGCAGATAGTGCTATTTTGCTTTGAATGTGAATTTTTTTATTTGCATTTAAGCACAGTTGCTGTTACTGTAATACAAAAAAATCTCATTACTGTAATGTGAAAAGTAGTTTTTTATTTAAATGTGTTATTGTTGTAGTATCCAAAAATACTGTAGTAAATGTTATTTTTGGTAGCAGTCGATTGTTAGAATTTGCATTGCCTTAATGATTAAAACAAACATTACTGCAATATTACTCTAATTGGAATTTAAAGTAGAAAATTGTTTAATTGTCATGAGCATAATGCCATAACATATTAAAATAAGATACATAAAATAAGTAAAACATCTTACAATGTTCCTATCATAAGCATCATTTAAATTCAGTAAAATATTATTTCCACATGATTGATTGATTGATTGATTGACTGACTGACTGACTGACTGACTGACTGACTGATTGACTGACCGACTGACTGACTGACTGACTGACTGATTGACTGACTGACTGACTGACTGACTGAAT